ATATAGTAGCAATTTATGTTGTTGAATAAAGGTATTTCCAATGAATAAGTCATTTGTCTTGAAAAATTCTATCATTAATTCAGGGAAATGGCTCATGCAGTTGTGGAGCCTGGCATTTCCCAAATTCTCTAGTCAAATGTTAGGCTGGAGGCTTCTCCTAACTCGCCTGGTTGTGCAGGCTAACAGATTCCAAAATTGGCAGTTCACATGGCAGGCTGCTGACTCACGGGCCTTGCAGGAACTGGTGAATTGCAAGATGTGCTATTCTTGCAGCAGGCTGCTGGCTCATGTACAAGAACTAGAGATCAGGTGGTAATGAATCAGATGCAGGATACAAAAAGAGAGCGAATCTTGTTCCAAGGAAACTCCCCTTTCTACTGACTGGCTCCTCGTAGTAGATTTTACCATGAAGGTGATTACATTTCATTACATTTATAGCTGAACAATCAGCCAGTGTCTGCCAAACTACTGAGAATCATAGCCTAGCCAAGTTGACTGATAATAGTAACCATCACATGTACTGAAGTCTTTGTCAAAGACTTCTTTCATTCAGCATGTTTTTGAGTTTTGCCCATATTGTTTTGTGGATCTGTGCTTCCTTCCTTTTTATTGATGAGTAGTATTCCATCGTATGAATATACCACAATTTATTTATACATTGCCCTATAATGGACACCTTGGCTGTGTCCATGACAACTTATTATTATTGCTGTTACTATTTTTCACATGATGACACAGGATATCTCCCTTGCTTATTCTTTCACCCGTAAGTCACCAAAAACTCAAAAAAAGCTCAATGGCCTTGAGTCAGATCTAACTCATAATGACCCCTCCTTGGGTTTCTGAGGCAGTATTACTACGGCACATAACAACGACAACAACAACAACATTACTACGGAAGTAGATTGCCCAACCTTCCTTCCAAGGAGTGGCTAGTGTGTTTGAACTGCCAGCCTTTTGGTTTTACAGTCACATGCCTTAGGCACTACACTACCAGGGCTCCTAAGTCACTAATGTTATGGCTTAATAAATGCTGCCCCTGACGGGATTTTCGAAAGCAGTGTAATTAAAATATTTGTCAGTTCCCTTACAACCAAGTAACACCATTTCTCTTTATCCTAAGTCTTAGCCAGGGGAAGAGATTGAGTAGTTGCCACCATATTACAGATACTAGTGTAAGAAATAATCTGTTTAATGCTGGTAAATAAATTATCCCAGAAGGAGCCATTGGCTTCCATGCTGAGTACATCTTGAGACCTTAAAGTACCTCCTAATCCTACTCCTGTCTCAGTTTTTGAAACAACATTGTTATTTCGCTATTGGGAGGGAGATGAAAGTAGGAGGCATTGTGCAGTTTCTGGTGGTTGCAGGGTGGGGAGTTCTCACTGGCCAGCTACTATAGCAGCAGCAGCAGCAGCAGCAGGAAAGGTAGACAGAGATAGGATAGAGGATAAGGAGGCATAATAGGTTATTGATAAGTGAAATCAGTCTCTACTGTAATTGTATATTGAAACCCATTTTTATTTTTTTGCAGAGAGAAATTTGGGAATTTAGGTTTACATATCTGTGATATTCCATTTGCTAATTAGACAACATCATACTGTACCTTCTTTGATAGAATGGCAGGTGACAATTCTTACAAATTCACACATACCAACTTTGCCAGGTTTTTGTCTACATATATATGGTATACATACTTTGTGTCTGATCTCAGAATACCATAAGAATATTAGACTCATACTATAATAGAATCTCTTTTCATTTAATCTTTGATATTCAGGGTAAAATCTAATTTTAAAAATTCTACATGGTTAAGAACAATTAACTAAGGATATCAAAGAAGCATTTAAAATATTAAGACCCACTCTATATTTTCCAGAAGGTATGAAAGTAATACCACTTAATAGGTTAGCTGCTACCCTGCACTTTCAAAGCACTTTAGAGTCATTCGTCTGTCTGAGGTAGGAAAGTATTAGCACCCTTGGTTAATAGATGAGAACTCTTTTTCTCCCTGTACTTTTCTGTATTTGAGTTCCAGACTTTATCCAAAGCTCTCCAAACAGCAGTTTGTGATCTTTTTGTAACCCACCAGATTCTTTTTGATATGCCTCCTTACCTTCTAAATACATCTGAGATATTTCTCCAGAAAGGTTTTTAAAAAACTATAAACAAACATACAAAAAGAATTATCAGTTTTGATGGTAGCAGTAGAAAAAAATGTAACTTGAAGATTTTTAAGAGATCATACTACTCATAGAAGAAATAAAACTATATATAAATAAATGGGTAAACTATTTCATAAATTTGGGTAAAGTCTTTAAACAATTATAGCTTTAATGTGTATTGAATTCATGGTTTTTCTGCTGGAGGAGAGATTATGGAATCCTGTACTTTGTTTAGTAAATGCACTTTATTACTCTAGATATGTTTGTGGCTAACAAAGATATAGAAAAGAAGCTACAGGTGTTTATTTTCTGATTTTGTCATAACTAGTTGTGAGGATAGCATCTGTGCAAATTATTATCACTTGAACTTATAGTCTTAAATTAGAGCATGTTTACAGGAACATCATAATTTGAAGAAGTAACGGGTTATCACATTCAGATACCTAGTTGTGCATTTTGAAGGTAAAAGTTCCAAAGCTTGATTTGTTTTGTCTGTGCTTATTTGCTTGTATATTTAATCCTGCTCTTGTTGAGCTTCTCAACACTGCATAAAAACATTAATCATAAGTGGTCTTAAGATAGATATCTTCAGCACTTCCATGGAAAGTCATTGTCAGAGAATTCATTCTAATTCAAGGTTAATTAGTGTACCATTAAAATAATGTGTTACAAAAATTAATTACATTGCAGGTCAAAAAATGTGTTAAAAAGCATGGTGTAAATGTCTGAGAGCACATCATCCTTCTTAAAGCATTGCTGTACGTGTGCCGCCCTCCTGGAAAATATATCCAAAGTGAAAATCACTACTGAGGTCCAGTCATAGGTGTTTCCTCTAAAGTAAATTTTTGGCACTACATGTAGGAAATTTAAAATATAACCCCCATTAACAGTAAAATGTGTTGCTTGTCCACTTTCCCATTGAAATATCCTAAGATTTATATTTTAGCATTACTTGATATAACCCTACTGGGTTAAATCTAATGAGAAATTAGGAACCTGGTTGAGAAGTAGGAATTCTCTGTACATCTTGTAGTAGAAGTGGCAGTTACATTAGTATTGTGTTTTCCTTCTTAACTAGTAGGTACTTCTGGTGAGTGCCTTGTGTAAGCGTATCACACGTCATCTTAACTATGGAGTAGTTCTTGTTCATGGTTTAACTAAATAAAATGCACACTTAAAATTAGAGCTAAAAATGGTAGACTTAGAAATTTTATCAGGTTCTTTTCCTGTAAAAGCTGGGAAATAATTGTATCGCACTATAGAGTATCATGTACATTGGTATTCAGAGAGTCTCATTAAAATCTCTAAATAATCATTTAGAGAATATT